GCAACATCAGTATAGTAAGAGTAGGGTTTTTAAAACCTCACTTACATCAGTGAATAGATTGTCCAGACAGAAAATCAATAAGGAAACATCAGCCCTAAACAATACATTAGACCAAATGGACTCTATAAATACAGAACATTCCACCCAAAACAGCAAAATACACATTCTTCTCAGGTGCATATGGAACACTCTCCAGGATAGATCATATGTTAAACCACAGAATGAGTCTAAGTATATTTAGGAAGACTGAAATCATATCAAGCATCTTTTCCAACCACAATAGTATGTAAGTGGAAATAAATTACAAGAAGAAGATTAGAAAATTTAAAAAAAAATATGTGGAGATTAAACAACATGGTACTGAAAAATTAATGTGTCAATTAAGAAATCAAAAGGGAACTAAAACAAACAAAGAAGCAAACCAACAAAAAACCCTTGAGAATGTAAATGGAAATACAACACACCAAAATCTATGAGATGGAGCAAAAGTAGCTCTAAGAAGGAAGTTCACAGTGATATAGACTTATGTCAATAAGTGAAAAATCTCAATCTAGTTGTACACTTAACAGAACTAAAAAAGGAAAAACAAACAAAGCACATAGTACAAAGAAAGGAACAATAAAAATCAGAGCAGAAACAAATGAAATAAAGACTAAAAGGCAATAGAAAATATCAATGAAAGAGCTGGTAGAAGGGAAACAAAATTGATAAACCTTTCACTAGACTCATCAAGGGTAAAAAAAAAAAAAAAAAGAGAGGACCCAAATAAATAAATCAGAAATGAAAGAACACAAGTTACACCTGATACTAGAAAAATACAAGGAATCAAAAGAGACTACTATGAACAATTATACACCACCAAATTGGACAGCCTAGAAAAGATGGATAAATTCCTAAAACATATAACCTTCCTGAATCATGAAGAAAGAGAAAATCTGAATAGACCAATTACTAGTAAGGAGATTGAATTAATAATCAAAAACTTCCCAACAAACAAACGTCCAGGACCAGATGGCTTCACTGGTGAATTCTACCAGACATTCAGAAATTTAATACACACCCTTCTCAAACTCTTCCAAAAAAATTGAAGAGGAATGAATACTACAAATTCATTTTACAAGGCTGGCAGTACCCTAATACAAAGCCAGACAAGAACACCACAAAAAAGAAAATTATAGGCCAACACCCCTGATGTACGTAAGTGCAAAATCTTCAACAGTTATTTGCAAATCTAATTCAATATTAAAAGGACCTTGCATAATGATTAAGTGGGATTTATTCCTGGGATGAAAGGACGGTTCAACATCTGCAAACCAATCAATGTGACACACCATATTAACAAAATAAGGGATAAAAAATCTCATGATCATCTCAATAGATGTAGAAAAAAGCATTTGACAAAGTTCAGCATCTATTTAAAATAAAAATGCTCAACAAAATGGGTAATAGAGGGAATATACCTCAACATACTAAAGGTCATATATGACAAGCCCACAGCTAACATCATACTCATTGGTGAAAAGATGTTGCTTTGCTCATATTACTCAAAGTAATCTACGGATTTAATGCAATCTCTTTTCAAAATTACAATGTTTTTTTTTTCACAGAAATAGAACAAACAATCCCAAAATTTGTATGGAACCACAGAGGATCCCAAATAGGTAAAGCAATATCTGGAAAGAAGAAATAAGTTGGAGGCATCATGCTCCCTGATTTCAAAGTATATGACAAAGTTTCAGTAAACAAACAGTATGGTATTGGCATAAAAACAGACCCATAGATCAATGGAACAGAATTGAGAGCCCCCAAATAAACCCATGCATAAATGATCAATTAATTTGTGAAAAAGGAGGCAAGAACATACAATGGGGAAAAGACAGTATCTTAATAAATGCTGTTAGAAAAACTGGACAAACACAAGCAACAGAATAAAATTAGACCACTATCTTACACCATACACAAAAATTAACTCAAAATGGGTTAAAGACATGAATGTTAAGACTTGAAACCATAAAACTCCCAGAAGAAAACAGACACAGTCAGCTCTTTGACATCTATCTTGGTGATGATTTTTTGGATCTGATTCCAAAGTCAAAAACAAGAAAAGCAAAAATAAACAAGTGGGACTGCATCAATCTAAAAACTCCCTGCACTGCAAAGAAAACTGGAAACAAAATGAAAGGGCCACCTCCCAAATGGAAGAAGGTATTTGAAAATCACATATATAATAAGGGCTTAATATCCAAAATATGCAAAGAATTCATACAACTCAATAACAATAAAACAAACAATCCAATTAAAAAATGGGCAGAGGATCTGTACAGACATTTTTCCGAAGATGACATACAGATGGCCAATAGGCACATGAAAATACGCTCATTATCATTAATCATCATCAAGCAATGGAAATCAAAACTTCAATGAGGTATCACCTCACAACAGTCAGAATGGCTAATATCAAAAAGACAAGAAATCAGTGTTGGCAAAAATGTAGAGAAAAGACTCTCATACACTGCTAGTGAGAATGTAAATTGGTGCAGCCATTATGGAAAACAGTATGGAGGTTCCTTAAAATATTAAGGATAGGACTACCATATTATACAAAAATTCCTCTTCTGGGTATTTATCCAAAGAAGACAGAAACACACATTTGAAGTCACATATGCACCCTTATGTTCAGTGCAACATTATTTACAATTGCCAAGATATGGAAATATCCTGTTTCCATCAATGGATAAATGAATAAAGAAGTGGTATATATACGGTGGAATACTCAGCCATAAATATGAATGAAATCTTGCCATTTGCAACAACATGGATGGACCTTTATGGTATTACGCTAAGTAAAATAAGTCAGAGAGAAAAAGACAAATACTGTATGATTTCACCTATAGATGGAATCTAAAAAACAAAACAAATGAATAAACAAAACTGATACAGAGAACAAATTGGTGGCTGCAAGATGGGAGGAAGTTTGGGGGCTGGGAGAAATGGGTGAATGAGGTCAAGAGGTACAAATTTCCAGTTATAAAATAAATAAGTCATGGGGATACAATGTACAGCATGATTACTACAGTCAATAATATTGTGTTGCATATTTGACAGGTGCTGTAAATCTTAAAAGTTCTCATCATGAGAAAAAAATTTTGTTATTTTGCATGCTGATAGATGGTAACTAGACTTATTGTGGTGATCATTTCACAATATATGCAAATATCAAATCATTATGTTGTACCCCGAAATGAATATTATCTTATACAACAATTATACCTCAACTTAAAAGAAAGGCATGTGGTGTTTAGAAATTCTTGTAATAAAGATGCGTCAAACTCATACACACACAAAATAAATAAAAACAAACAGTAAATAATTGCATTTTGTGTAATTTTTATAGTAATCCATTTGAATTCTCCATTTTAAAATGCTGAACTGTTCTGTATTTCAAGGCTTAATTACTCAAGTACATAATTTACTAAGTGATTCTTAAAAGAAGAAATACATTGGCCACAAATATTTTAAACGATGCTCAATGAAGATTTTCCTTCTTTTGAAGTGATGGTTCTGTACTAAAGCAGTTGTTACCTTAATTGTCCCAGATCTCATATAAAATTTATGTTCTTATAGTTGAAAGTGAAGATTTCTTAAAAATTTGAAATAGTGTTTATATGTTTTTCCTGAACAGGTATCACATTTATCCATTTTATCACAACATGGTATATAAAACAAAGTAAGAAATGCATTATTATAATGGTATAAACAGCATCTAAAATGTTCAAAATTACTTAGAAGAATATGCTTATTGTATATCTTAACTGTGTCTATGGACAAACATACAAATACGGACAAAACTACCTATAAAATGATGTAGATCTTTGGAATGCATAAATGTAATATTCAATGTTTTAGTCTTTTGCTAGACACCAGAAATGTCCATAATATGTAGTTATTTGTGGTTTTTCTTTTTCTTTTTTTTTTCTTTTTAGAGAGAGACAATTCAAAAGCACACAAAGGTGTACCAAACCAGTTACTTAGCTATCACATAAACCTGACAATCGAGCCCCACCATCTCAACAAGATTTGGTTATTCTATTTTGGTCTTATTTGAAGTAATTTAGAAAGGAAAAAAAATCAGATTTAGTTCATATGATGTTAATATCACTATTCTACTAATGTAATATAACCCATTATAGGTGGCAAGACGTTATTTGTATTAACTGTGATTTTATTCTGTATGGAAAAGCCATTACATGTCTAAAAGAATAACTTCTATTTACATAGAGGTGGGGTCTGAAGCATATTTGTAAACTCGGCGATTTTCTAAAGTCTCAGGACATATCTTTTCTAAGCGCCAAGAGTTTGCTTTATATTACTAGGATGACAATACGGCCACTAAATATTCTGATTTTTATTACACCCATTTAAAATATGTTCCGCTATCTAGAGCATGGCTTATAGTTAATCACAAACAAGCTGAATTTTTCAACATCATTTTGCGTGCAGTATTACTATTTCCAAGTGAGTATTTCTTCCTTGGCTGATAACTGAGCATTCTAATTATAAATAGTAGCATAAATCACTGGAATCCATAATAAATAATGTTTAAAGGGTCAAAGAATCATACAGGCAATTGGCCATTTTTACACTGGAAGCAAAGCATACAGTTTTTTAGCACAAAGTATAAGAGCTTTCTATGCAGGCCAGCATATAACCTAACAAAAAGCATATTTATTTTGTATTTGGCAAGATAAAGCAAAACACACACACACAAAAACATCTCACAAAGAGAAACCTGTTAGGCTTGTATATTCTGCAATATCTTTGCAAGTAAACTATTTTGCTCTGCCACAGAAGAAAATAGTTCATATTTCTCATCATATGCATGCACAGCACATCCCTGCTGTGGCATAGGTATTCAGAACCACAGAGATCCAGAAGTTCTGAGATACTGTGAGATATAGAGATTACCAATATAAAAGATTATAAAACGCATGTAAACTCACCCTTCTAATCTCACATCCGGCAGACTTCTGTTAAGGGCAATCAAGTCACTGGCCATTAGGTTAAACTGATTGATTTTAAACAGTTCTTTCATTTTCTCCTGGTCATCTTTAGGAATCAGCACAGCCTTTCCCATTTCTCCTGGCCCTTCTTGGTTTCTTGAAATAACAGCTGTAAGACATACACAGGTACACACACACACAAACACACAGATAATGAACTGAATAAATAAACTCACGTGTTAGATTAGATTCTGAAGTCTATTATTTATACACTGGCCTAATAATATAATCACCAAGTCTTTATTCCTTACTTACAAACCATACACTACACTAACAAAACAACCTATTTTAATTCATTATCTCAATGCTGCATGTTGTCTTTTAAGTCTAGACATATTATATGATTTGACTGATCATTTAGACTTGATAAATGAGCAATACAAAGTACCAAAACTTAAAACTTCTGTCATATTTTTAATATAAAATTATTAGAGAAGGGATGAACTTGGGCACTAGGTAGACAAAATTGTGCAAAATAAAACAGAACTTTTGAAAATATACCAAGATAAATTTATTTTCACATCCAATTAAATGTTTTGATATTTCACATATCTACTCCCACTGCATCTTTATAAAAGCAAGCAACGTTGATAACCCATCTCAATTGCAATTTGATTCCTCTGTCAAAGCATTTTCAAAAAATAAAAGAACTTTCATAGTTGTGACATATAATTTCAAATGTCAAGTTGAATTTGGACACTATGTGCTCCATAACTGGAACTTAACAATATTCTGGGCTTGACTATTTATTAAGAGAACTCAGGATCCCATATACAGGCTAATGTTCTGGTCCTTTCCCTGCAAGTTATCTCAACACTAATGTCCCCTCTTGCTCCAAAATACATGTTTCTGTGTGTGTGTGTGTGTGTGTGTGTTAATATATAATAAAAAAAAATTCCAGTCAATCCTAATGGGCTCTTAATTTACTCTTCATCATGACGTTAAATTAAGTTAAAATGAAAGGAATGTGGCCTGGTCTTGACTCTTCCAATGTGTTGCTATTTTATTTCCTAACACATTAATCTTACTGAAATTAGCTTCCCACATTACTTTTAAGGGCAAATACTTGGACCCAAATTACCTTAAAATTATAAAATTTATAAAGGATATAAAGCCTGTGAAAATAATTTGTAAATTATAACATTTCATAAAAACACAAATTCCAAAATAATAGAATAGGCTTGAAACTAGAACATAATAAGCAAACTTTTGTCTGCCTTGATGTTTATAGTTAGAGAACATCTAGCCTGATATTACTAGTACTAATAAACAATTGGATTACTCAGGTGATTATTCTCTTTGAAAGGTTATCCTGACTTTGGAATGGCATGAGTCAGACTATAAAAGAGAATGAGCATCTCTAAGGACCTTCAGATATGGGTATGAAGAAGGTAATGAGCCCGGAAATCCTCTGATACACAGAAAAAGAGTAAGAATTAGGAAAATTTTAAATGAAAAAATTATATGTATCCAACCCCAAACTATTTAAAAAGCTGTCATCTAAAGAAAGTTTATAAAGAGCCTCATTCACTTTATGAAGCAAAAATAGAAATGATGGCAGGAATTTTATGAAAAAGCACATTTTAGTCACTTTAAGAAATAAAATTCTAACAGCAGTATTTTACTTTGGGAGTTAGTATGCCTATTATCCCTAAACTCAGATGAAGTTGGTGGAGTTGGCTTTCAGTGAATTTGTGCTCTTGGTGAGATGCTGGACTTGGATAGGTATTGAGGTCACAGCCCTTGGGCAGGGTAACTGACGAGAAGAATGGGAATACACCATTTAAAGTTGACTTTTTCTCGTAAAATGATGGCAGTTATGGGAAGAGAGAAGAAAGATTTTTTGAAAAGTAACATGATAAAAATAAATGCATATATATATATACTTACACACATGCTATTTTAAAGAAAGAGCATAGAGCTCAAAGGAAAAACTAAGAAAATAGCATTAAACGAAGAGCTGTAAAAAATAATTTTCTTAAATAAAATTTACAAAATTCTTCAGAAAATAAAAAAGTGATTAAAGAATTTGAGGTTAAGAATTTTTAGAAATTAAGAAAGCAATTCACCATTTACAGTTTTTTTTTTTAATTCCCTCTATACACTCTAACAAAAGTATATGACATTGCAGAAAAATGCACCAGAGTCAACATCTAGAAAGCAGACAGGGATAACATTTATTCTATGTGGAAAAGACATGACACTCAGCTACATCTTAGGGCATGAAGATCAAGTTGCCCACAAAAGTATTTGGTTTTTGCAGCATATTCAAAGGTGCAGCATTTGCTTTGCTTCGCATTCTAAGGATGACATGTCAGTGGTAGTAAGTGTGATCATGTTATAGAATTATCATCAATAAAAATAAAATTGTCATAAACAGTATCCTTATACCTAGAACCAGTTGGCAAGCACTTGTAATCATTCTCCTTTATTAAGAAAATTCTCATTTTCTTTCTTAGTGGAGAATAGATAACAACTTAATGTGTATCAGGTTAAGTATCTCTTCCCTAAAGTTAAATATTTTTTCTGTAATAGCCTCTAATGAATGCATATTTGACATTTTCTAAAATGTTTTTTTTCTTTTGCATAAGCAGACTTATTGGTGTTTTTCACCTTGTTCAAGCAAAAATGAAAAAGAATGCTAACTGCAATGTGGAACTAGCCTTTTTCTTTTTCTGGGTCTTACCTGAAAGAATGCATCTTGCTAGAAAATACTTGCTAGAAAGTATTTTTTCTTCAATTAGTAGAAATAGTAAATGGGAAAGATTAAGTGATTGGGTATGTGGCTTATCTCTGATTTGTTGTTCAAAAAGCAACTCCTATTTTTTTTTCTACCCTGTTGATTTCTCTCTTCTACATAGCTAAAAAAAAAAAAAAGACCACCTACATCCAAACAATATGCTCCCCCACAGCCAACCTTTAAAAAAAAAAAAGAATCATCATTAAAGTATTGATTCAACTTTTCTGCTCTAACAGGCAAATGTAATACAAAAGGCAACAAAATCTATATTATGATTCCATTATTATTAATTTGAAAACAAATGGAAAGTCCCAATTCCAAAGCTAGTTTGAACTGCAAAAATAATATGCTGTGCTCTAAGTTATTTTCTTTCTAATTATATGGTGAAATCATTAAAAAATAATAATTAGCTTCACTCAAAATGACATTGTAAAGCTTGTAGAAATATAAAAGCAGAATCATTATATGTGTGTGTATATATATATATATTTCATTTTTTTAACATAGTACATCCTGCAAAGATTTTGAGGAGATTCACTTTAATCTTAGAATTCCTATTGATAAAGAGGATACTACCAAAATATAAAAATATGACTATAAACAAACCAATGGATTAATCTACCAAAGGAACACTATATATTAATTTCATTATTGGTTATATAGATTGCATTATGAACATTTTTTTTCAATTGTAGAAATGTCCCATTAACAATGAGCATTATTTATTTGAAAAAATAGAGTTAAGACAATCTATATCTAGGAAAAAAACCTGAGTAAGAAAACTTCGTTTATTTTCTTTTATTTCATATATATACATAGATATATTTTAAGATTTTATTTATTTGACAGAGACAGACACAGCGAGAGAGGGAACACAAGCAGGGGGAGTTGGAGAGGGAGAAGTAGGCTTCCTGCTGAGCAGGGAGCCCGATGCGGGGCTCGATCCCAGAACCCTGGGATCATGACCAGAGCCAAAGGCAGACGCTTAATGACAGAGGCACCCAGGCACCCCATATACATATATATTTTTTAAGATTTTATTTATTTCAGAGAGAGACAGAGAGAGAGCATGAGTCGGGGGAAGAGCAGAAAGAGAGGGAAATTGAGAATCCCAAGCAGACTCCATGCTAAGTGCAGAGCGCATCACGGGGCTCAATCCCAGGACCCAGAGATCATGACCTGAACCAAAATCAAGAGCTGGACAGTTAAATGACTGAGACACCCAGGTGCCCATTAAGTTGATTTTAAAGTAATAACTTTATTCTGTTAAAGAGCACAGTAATATATGATGTATGTTGGTAAAAGCATAATATTGAACCATAACCTAATGTTATTCCAGGTGCTATGCCCTCCGGGAAATTACTTCAAATTGTATTTCCATTCTCAAATTTACTCAATTGTTAATTTCTGTATATTTGCCTTTAAAAGCTTTCTTTTCAGGAACACTACAGCTTTTCTCTCACTTTTATCATTTCTAATTTGTCAACTGTAATAAATTTAAAACCCCGACTTTCAGTCTCTCTCATCTTTGAATATTCATACTCCATTGCTAATAAATCAGTTTCTCTAAGATAGTGCTTTTTTGTTTTGCCAATCATAAATGTGTTTGTGGTGGGGTCAGAAATGAGGAAATCAAACCATCACTGGGACACATTTCCACAATCCAAACCATTTTGCCTCCCCTTAGGGTTCCCTAGGCCATGCTCTTTTGCCAATCTAAAGACCCTGAATTAGTCAAGGATAATTCTTGTTTAGGAACAAGGAACTTTATATTTACTCACTTAGATCCATTTCTGTTAGAAACAATAACGACTTCAAATATAAATATTATAGTATTGATATTACAACATATAGCTTAATATATATTAAATAATCAAATTCATTGTATTTAAAGCATAAATAAACAGCAATTCACTTACTATCTCTTTGAAAAATAACTATATACAACTTTTATAAGTCTGACACATCTGGCAATAACATTTTTTTTCATTTTTTCCTAGCCATATGTGGTGTTCTGATTTTTGTCCATTACATTTCAGTAACTAGATTTTTATGTGGCAAGAAAGTTGTAAATAGCAAGCCCTGACTGGATCAAGTCCAGCAGACATTAACTACTGTTTCCCAGGAGGGCCTCCTGTTAGGTATTAATAAGATAGTATTTTTACCAGCTAGCTAAGTGAGAGACCATCTGCAGAACCAGGGGGACACTGACTGCCAAACTTTCATTTATTTTTAAATAAAAAGTATATTATTACTATTTTTTTAAAGATTTTATTTATTTATCTGACAGAAAGAGACACAGTGAGGGAGGGAACACAAGCAGGGGGAGTGGGAGAGGGAGAAGCAGGCTTCCCGCTGAGCAGGGCCCT